TTTATATTTTATATATATTGTTCATATTTGTCTATTTTACCAGCAGTTCGAGTCTTAATGTTAAAATCAGACATCATCTTAATGTTTCATCATCAAATATATTCAATTAAATGAAAGAATCAAATGAATGTCGCTCCTCAGGTCATCATGAACACACGTCATAAATAAAACAACAATAAACAGACCACGTGTTTCTGTTGTGTTGCGGGTTTGATTCCCGCAGGATCATCTCCTCCAGATGTCACGCAAACGTACATTTGTGTATTTAGGTTATTTCTGTATTGAGGTTGCAGTCAGAGGCTCCGCTGACTGACAGGCTGCTCGTCCAATGGGAGCGCGGTTTGACTCTAGAGCAGCGCTATGATTGGTGGAGGGGGCAGAGGGGCGGGGCTGTGAGATTACAGCTGCGGACATCTGGAACAGCGTCTTACCGGGAATCAAACACCGACATCCTGACCGAGGCTGCTCTGTTCGGGCTCCGGTGCAGCGCGAGGCGGCTCCGGAGGGACCGAGCGATTCTACCGGTTAAACCCGGAGATCCGGATATACCCCGGGAGGTGATGGACTGAACCGATCCGACATCTGAGGGTCTGAGGCCCGATGGAAGCTGCGACACATCCCGACCTGGAGCGTCTGGATCCCGGTTCCTGATCCGTGTGTGAGGGTCTCGGTGTTTTTCGGTCCCTGGTCTCGATTAAAACGATCATGAATTATCCGCCTCCGCTCCTCTAATCTGGATTTAAATCTGAGATCGGATCTGGATTAGTCTGTTCCTGGTTCTGATCGGGTCACGTCTGACCCGGTCTGAACCGGTCCTGGTCCCGGTGTGATCTTTGGTCCTCTCTGGTCCTGGTGTGCTAAGCTGTCATCATGCCGACGTCCCGGCCTGGTTCTGAGCCGATGGAGTTCTGGGTGGAGGGTTCGAGGCGGGACGGGACGGTGGAGGAGTTCTACACCTTGAGCTCCGAGCTGGGCAGGTCTGGACCACATTGATGAGGGGGGACAGGTCTGGAAAACAATGATGAGGGGGGACAGGTCTGGACCACATTGATGAGGGGGGACAGGTCTGGATCATAATGATGAGGGGGGACAGGTGTGGACCACAATGATGAGGGGGACAGGTCTGGACCACATTGATGAGGGGGGACAGGTCTGGAAAACAATGATGAGGGGGGACAGGTCTGGACCACATTGATCAGGGGGGACAGGTCTGGACCACATTGATGAGGGGGACGGGTCTGGAAAACAATGACGAGGGGGGACAGGTCTGTCCACATTGATCAGGGGGGACAGGTCTGGATCATAATGACGAGGGGGGACAGGTCTGGACCACAATGATGAGGGGGGACAGGTCTGGATCATAATGATGAGGGGGGACAGGTGTGGACCACAATGATGAGGGGAGACAGGTCTGGACCACATTGATGAGGGGGGACAGGGGAGACAGGTCTGGACCACATTGATGGGGGGACAGGGGGGACAGGTCTGGATCTCTATGTGATCCAGGTCCGGGGTCCTGCAGGACAAAGGGATCTGACTGGGTTCTGTTGGAAAGGGGACCTGGACTGTCTACTTTCAGCAGGTTGTCTTCATTAAGACATTTTTAGATACTTTAGAAACGTTAAACTAAATAAAGAACGAAGCGTCTCCAACTGTCTTAAAACATAATATCTTGGACACTGACGTCTTGTGTCTGTGCAGCAGCAGAGGACCAGTGGAGACGTCATAGAGACACTGACGATAAACAACCGATGAAATAATAAAAACCAAACTGATCAGGAATATGAACTAACCTAAGTGTGATAAGAACAGCCACCAGGGGGCATTCAAGAAGATCTGGCTTCAGTTTTGTCATGTCGTTCATCTTAAACAATTATAAATATAAGTAAAGTAGTTATTACGTCTTTAAACACAACGCAGCTCACGTATACATTTAAATCAAACTCTGGAACAAACACGGTTCAGATATTTAAATATGATCGAGCAGAAAGTAAAGACTGTAAATTCACTTTATATAGAAACTTTAACTCTGACAGTTTTCACTGTGCAGATACTGATCTCTGTACTTTTACTTCAGGGAAGTATCAGATTACTTCTGTACAGACTGTAAACACACAAACAGTTCCAGTAAACAACAACAACAACAGCTCAACAGTGAAATGATGTCAGCACCTGTTACCAGGTGACCTGTTACCATGGAGACTAGCCAGTGCAGTGTGACTGTGTGTGTGTGCACACACACACACACACACACACTCACACACACACACTCTGTCTTTGTGTTTAAGTGACGAATTAGTGCAACACTGTAAAAACATGAAGTTGTGTGTTGGTCACGTCATTTCACTCTTCACACCTGAACGTGTCACGATGTTTTTGTCCGTAGCGTTGTTGCTAGGCGATGACTGTAACAGTGGGACATGCTAGTGATGCAATAGGACGACCGGAACGTCCCATTCCGGTTCGGCCGACTGTTGGAGGACTCAGCTGACGTCGGCTGCTTAACGTGATGTAATACGTAGATCAGCTCCTCCACAGGACACAACGGTTTAATATGGAAACCAACTCGATGACGGTTTGATGGATTCTTCCTGATCGTCACTGATGTAAACACGCGTCATTGTTTTATTTGTGGGATCATACGATTATTTCAAGCCCAATAAGAGTAAGAAATTGATTCCTCATCATATGATGTCATGTGATCAGTGACATCACAATCAAATCCACAAATGACATCATACACAGTAGAAAAAGCTTTGCATCCTGTTGGACAATGAACACGATCTGAAGGTCACATGATAGAATGATGTCATCATGGCGTCACTATGACAACAATGCAACTAATTAGAGACACGACGATGAATGACGTCATGATGTCACATGTTGTGTACGTGCTGCATCGGGATCAACAGGGTGCTTGTTGTTTTGTGTTTCCTGTAGAGGAGCCACGTCCGTTGTTTATCGCTGTGAAGAGAAACAGACTCAGAAACTCTACGCTGTCAAAGTCCTCAAAAAAACGGTCAGTCATCCTTCATCAGGGGTCAGAGGTCAGAGTCAGGGGTCACACAGGTTCTTCAGTTCATGCTGACATTTTCTCTTCTGCTTCAGATCGACAAGAAAATTGTTCGTACAGAAATCGGAGTCTTGCTGCGTCTGTCTCATCCAAACATCGTGAGTATTGTTTGTTTCGCTGCCTCTTCAAATTGTTTAAATAAATCATATGTTGTCTCTAATGATGGAAGTGGAGCTGAGACTGTGTGTGATGTCATCAGAGAGGCAGGAAGTGGGTCAATGTGATGTCATCAGA